TTTACTAAGTATACCAGGAATAGTGTATGGTAGGGTTATTATTGAAAGAATTAGAGGTAAGACAGAATGTAGGATTGCAGATGAGCAAGGAGGTTTCAGAGTGGGTAGAGGATGTGTAGATCAAGTGTTTACATTGAAGCATATATGTGAACAGTATTTAGATAAAAGTAGGGAAGTTTTTATTGCATTTATGGATTTAGAAAAGGCATATGATAGAGTCGACAGGGGACCAATGTGGCAGATGTTGCAAGTATATGGAATAGGTGGCAAGTTACTAAATGCTGTAAAGAGTTTTTATGAGGATAGTGAGGCTCAGGTTAGGGTGTGTAGAAGAGAGGGAGTGAACATTAAAATGGTATAAAATACCGACAGATTGTTAGGTAAGACACATATGCAACAGTTGGGTATCTTTATTTCGAAACGTTTCGCCTACACAGTAGGCTTCTTCAGTCGAGTACTCGACTGAAGAAGCCTACTGTGTAGGCGAAACGTTTCGAAATAAAGATACCCAACTGTTGCATATGTGTCTTACCTAACAATCTGTCGGTATTTTATACCATTTTAATGTTCATTCTGTCAGACACTGCAACACAAGGGTATCTTGGTACAGACCATCAACTTCGACCTCTACTAGTGAGAACGGCTGGGTTTGAGAGGGACCTGCCCTCCCAAAGCAACCTACGTCTCACCTCCTGGCACTATATAAAGGCTCCATCCTGTCACTTCAACTTCATATTGTTTCAGACAACGGAACAATGCTCTTCTCCAGACTGAGGGACTGACCACCTCAAAACTTTAAGGGTGATGGACTGATTACATCGTCTTCAAGTATCTTCTGCTTCTATCAACTTTTCTGTACTCGACTGAAGAAGCCTACTGTGTAGGCGAAACGTTTCGAAATAAAGATACCCAACTGTTGCATATGTGTCTTACCTAACAACAGAAGAGAGGGAGACTACTTCCCGGTAAAAGTAGGTCTTAGACAGGGATGTGTAATGTCACCGTGGTTGTTTAATATATTTATAGATGGGGTTGTAAAAGGAGTAAATGCTAGGGTGTTCGGGAGGGGGGTGGGATTAAATTATGGGGAATCAAATACAAAATGGGAATTGACAGTTACTTTTTGCTGATGATACTGTGCTTATGGGAAAGGTTAGTGGATGAGTTTGGGTGTGTGTGTAAAGGTAGAAAGTTGAAAGTGAACATAGAAAAGAGTAGGGTGATGAGGGTATCAAATGATTTAGATAAAGAAAAATTGGATATCAAATTGGGGAGGAGGAGTATGGAAGAAGTGAATGTTTTCAGATACAGTGGACCCCCGCATAACGATCGCCTCCGAATGTGACCAATTATGTAAGTGTACTTATGTAAGTGCGTTTGTACGTGTATGTTTGGGGGTCTGAAATGGACTAATCTACTTCACAATATTCCTTATGGGAACAAATTCGGTCAGTACTGGCACCTGAACATATTTCTGGAGTGAAAAAATATCGTTAACCGGGGGTCCACTGTACTTGGGAGTTGGCATGTCAGCGGATGGATTTATGAAGGATGAGGTTAATCATAGAATTGATGAGGGAAAAAAGGCGAGTGGTGCGTTGAGGTATATGTGGAGTCAAAAAACGTTATCTATGGAGGCAAAGAAGAGAATGTATGAAAGTATAGTAGTACCAACACTCTTATATGGGTTTGAAGATTGGGTTGTGAATGCAGCAGCGAGGGGGCGGTTGGAGGCAGTGGAGATGTCCTGTCTAAGGGCAATGTGTGGTGTAAATATTATGAAGAAAATTCAGAGTGTGGAAATTAGGAGAAGGTGTGTAGTTAGTAAAAGTATTAGTCAGAGGGCTGAAGAGGGGTTGTTGAGGTGGTTTGGTCATTTAGAGAGAATGCATCAAAGTAGAATGACATGGAGAGCATTTAAATCTGTAGAAGAAGGAAGGCGGGGTAGGGGTCATCCTCGGAAAGGTTGGAAGGAAGGGGTAAGGGAGGTTTTGTGGGCGAGGGGCTTGGACTTCCAGCAGGCGTGCATGAGCGTGTTCGATAGGAGTGAATGGAGACGAATGCTATTTGGGACCTGACGATCTGTTGGAGTGTGAGCAGGGTAATATTTAGTGAAGGGATTCAGGGAAACCGGTTTTTATATAGCGAGACTTGTATCCTGGAAATGGGAAGTACAATGCCTGCACTCTAAAGGAGGGGTTTGGGATATTAGCAGTTTGAAGGGATATACTTGCAACATCTGCCACATTGCTCCTCTATCCACTATCACATGCCTTTTCTAAATCCATAAAAGCAATAAAAACTTCCCTACCTTTATCTAAATACTGTTCACATATATGCTACAATGTAAACACTTGATCTACACATCCCCTACCCACTCTGAAACCTCCTTGCTCATCCGCAATCCTACATTCTGTCTTACCTTTAATTCTTTCAATTATAACCCTACCGTACACTTTTCCTGGTATACTCAGTAAACTTATTCCTCTATAATTTTTACAATCTCTTTTGTCCCCCTTCCCTTTATATAAAGGGACTATACATGCTCTCTGCCAATCCCTAGGTACCTTCCCCTCTTTCATACATTTATTAAACAAAAATACCAACCACTCCAACACTATATCCCCCCCTTCCCTGCTTTTAACATTTCTGTCATGATCCAGTCAGTTCCAGCTGCTTTACCCCCTTTCATTCTACATAATGCCTCATGCACCTCCCCCACACTCGCATCCTGTTCTTCTTCACTCCTAAAAGATGGTATACCTCCCTGGCCAGTGCATGAAATTACCTCTTCCCTTTCTTCGTCAACATTTAAAAGTTCCTCAAAATATTCTTGCCATCAACCCAAAACCTCCATCTCCCCATCTACTAACTCCCCTACTCTATTTTTAACTGACAAATCCATTCATTCTCTAAGCTTTCTTAAATTGTTTAACTCCAAAAATTTTTCTTATTTTCATTAAAATTTCTTGACAGTGCCTCTCCCACTCTATCATCTGCTCTCCTTTTGCACTCTCTCACCACTCTCTTCACCTTTCTTTTACTCTCCATATACTCTGCTCTTCTTATAACACTTCTGCTTTGTTAAAACCTCACATAAACTGCCTTTTTCTCTTTTATCACACCCTTTACTTTATCATTCCACCAATCACTCCTCATTCCTCCTGCACCCACTCTCCTATAACCACAAACTTCTGCCCCACATTCTAATACTGCATTTTTAAAACTATTCCAACCCTCTTATCCCCCCCACTACTCATACTTGCACCAGCCCACCTTTCTGCCAATAGTTGCTTATATCTCACCCGAACTTCCTCCTCCCTTAGTTTAAACACTTTCACCTCCCTCTTGCTTGTTGCTGCCATTTTCCTCTTTTCCCATCTACCTCTTACTCTAACTGTAGCTACAACTAAATAATGATCCAATATATCAGTTGCCCCTCTATAAACGTGTACATCCTGGAGCCTACTCATCAACCTTTTATCCACCAATACATAATCTAACAAACTACTTTCGTTACGTGCTTTATCATACCTTGTATATTTATTTATCCTCTTTTTCATAAAATATGTATTACTTGTTACCAAACCTCTTTCTACACATAGCTCAATTAAAGGCTCCCCATTTTCATTTACCCCTGGCACCCCAAATTTACCTACTACTCCCTCCACAACATTTTTGCCCACTTTAGCATTGAAATCCCCAACCACCATTACTCTCACACTTGGTTCAAAACTCCCCACGCACTCACTCAACATTTCCCAAAATCTCTCTCTCTCTCTCTCCTTTACACTTCTCTCTTCTCCAGGTGCATATATGCTTACTATAACCCACTTTTCACATCCAACCTTTATTTTACTCCACTTAATCCTTGAATTAATACATTTGTAGTCCCTCTTTTCCTGCCATAACTTATCCTTCAACATTATTGCTACTCCTTCTTTAGCTCTAACTCTATTTGAAACCCCTGACCTAATCCCATTTATTCCTCTCCACTGAAACTCTCCCACCCCCTTCAGCTTTGTTTCACTTAATATATACCCTTACTGTAACTCACTTTTCACATCCAACCTTTATTTTACTCCACATAATCCTTGAATTAATACATTTATACTCTCTTATTTCCTGCCATAGCTTATCTTTCAACATTATTGCTAGTCATTCTTTAGCTCTAACTATTTGAAACTCTTGACCTAATCCCATTTACTTCTCTCCACTGAAACTCTCCCACCCCCTTCAGCTCTGTTTCACTTATAGTCAGGACATCCAGCTTCCTCTCATTCATAGCATCCACAATAATCTCTTTCTTATCATTTGCACAACATCCACGCACTTTGACAATGTTCTTCTTCTTTTTAGTAATCTTTACAGGAAAAGGGGTTACTAGCCCATTGTTCCCAGCATTTTAGTTGACTTTTACAACACGTATGTCTCATTGAGGAAAGATTCTTATTCCACTTCCCCATGGATATAAAGGGAAAAATAATAAGAACAAGAACTATTAAGATAAAATCAAAGAAAACTCAGATGAGTGTGTATAAATAAATGTGTACATGTATGTGTAATGTGACCTAAGTGTAAGTAGAAGTGGCAAGATATGTACCTGTAATATTGCCTATTTATGAGACAGACAAAAGACACCAGCAATCCTACCATCACGTAAAACAAATACAGGCTCTCGTTTTACACTTACTTGGCAGGACAGTAGTACCTCCCTGGGTGGTTGCTGTCTACCAACCTACTACCTATTTTTTTTTTTTTAACAAGTCGGCCGTCTCCCACCGAGGCAGGGTGACCCAAAAAGAAAGAAAATCCCCAAAAAGAAAATACTTTCATCATCATTCAACTCTTTCACCTCACTCACACAGTCACTGTTTTTGCAGAGGTGCTCAGAATACAACAGCTTATTTTTTATCTTTTTAAAATTATGCCACAGAGCACTTTTTTCCCAAGTCTGCCAGGATTAAGAAAATACCACAGAAGCATTAAAAATAACTTACATCAACAATAACATTTACACCCAAATGTGCCATATTGTTGATAGTGTCTTTCTTTGTGGCAGGGATCTGAGCATGTTGGAGAAGCTTTTCTAAATTTTCATTTGAAACTCCATTCTTTGCCAAAATGTATAGCAAAATGACACGCAGTTTGTCATCATTTTCTACAGCTTGATCCAGCAATATGGGAACAATGTTCTTCATATGATCTTTGATCTTCTCACCTGTTGATAAAAGCAAAATATTACTCTAAGTGCACATTGAAAAGAAAAGTCTCAGAACAAAACATTTAACACTGTAATTAGTTCATTAAAATTAATATCTTTAACAGTAATTAAAAACTAATTACAGGACAGACACACACATAAAGCATGGGTTTAACAATCATTACATAACTGAATTACATTTCAAGACATGGGTGACACGCATTCAAGAACAGTTTCATTACTTTGGTGTTTTTGATTATGAGGATGTCTGAAAATATAATGGTTCTATGTACAACAATGATAAATGAACCAATGTTACATCAGATTAGAGCAGTTTCTCAACAAGCATGCCAGGAGTGTTCCCATGTGGACTTGTGAATGGTGCAAACCTTAACCAACTACTAGGTGGTCAAGCAAATTTCCTTGACCAGAACTGTAATTCAAATAAAGAACCTCTAAAACATAATATTAACCATAAAAAATATAAAGCTTCCATTGCACATCAAAGAATTCATCATACCTTCAGCATCAGTGCCCATGGCCAAGTCCTGCTCAACTTTGCACAACTTGTCAGTGTATCCTTGGTATTTCTTCATACAGCTTTCAGCCAAATGTATATGAGTTGCATATTTAGAAAGTTCCTTCTGATACTGAGGCATTTTCTTGATCATCTGAGATAAATCTTTCATTGAGGCTTTGTCTGTGCCCATGTTGCGTTTGGTGGCCATGAACTCTAGAAAAGAAAACTTTATACATAAGAAAACAAGAATATAACAGAAAAGCTTCAGAAGAAACATGTTGAACAAAGTAGCATTTGAAAGAAATTTTTCAGTATAGAGAAAAACAGAGCCAGTATAAAGAATGACGGTGGAATAAGATACAATGATTTCTCTCGTTGACAAATTTAGGCTGCTCTTTCTTTTAGAGTTTCCATTCTGTTACACAAAAAATTGTAACATCATATTGACAACACAACCTCAGTGGAATGACCAACTGCACTGAAACTTGCCACACTACCTTACAAAGGACTGTACAGTGTAGCATCATTTATGGTGCCACCATACTTAACCCAGGAAGCACGTGAAAATTTGAGTCCGGGAACTTTTTGATGGCACCTCATATGCATATTTAATGTGGTAGTAGTGTGGTGTCTTAACATTAATTAAGAAATTAAATTCTAAAAAAACTAAAAGCACAGAAAATGTTTTGGCTGCTTATGACAGAATAGATAAGAAAGTTTCTTGGCACTTGTAAAAGGGAGAGCAAAAGGTCTTAATTTCAAATTATGAAAACAAAAACAAAATTGAAGAAGTGATACTTGAAACTACTCATTTGAGTATGGTAAAATGCCGTAAGTTTTTTTTTTTACACAAACAGTGGATGCACGATATTAACACACTGAAGCATAAAGTTTCTTTTCCCCCAGCCACACAGCCATATAAAACAAACATACACACACACACACACACACACACACACACACACACACACACACACACACACACAAAAAAAAAAAACACAAATGAACAAAAAACACACACACACACACACACACTCACAGTTTGTAGTATTAACAAAGTGATGTTTATGATGACAGATGTCTCTCTGGTTATGGCAATTGTATTTAGTTAGAGATAACTGTAATTCATCATATCTCTCACCCTTTGTCTTCTTCGTGATATTTTGGGAAACAACTGCAATATGTTGATGACGAAGTTCTAGCCACAGGTCATCATTTTCATCAAGGAGAACCTCCTTCTCGCTCTCCCCCTGGGTTGCTTCATACTTGTACACATCATTTTCAATGTCCAGAAGGTCATATGCCATTGCCTAAAGAAATGACTTATCAAATAATAACACAGTTAAATGTTGTCAGTCTATAGGCAGTATAGCTAAATAATATTTTGTATGGGAAGTAAAAATAAAACTTATTGATGTGTGTTCATTTCATACATTATTTCTTTCAACTGACTGATTAAAGAATTCATTAAAATAAAAATGTGACATAAAAACAAAACAGTAAGGTTTTTATTATGAAGAAGTTGTTGTTGTTAATTATATCATGCATAGTAACTTGCAATCATAAATGAATTCTGAATATGTAATAAAACTTCATGTGAAGCTTAAGTTCAATGTGATGGATAGTCACATAGAACAGAATTATTGATGCCAGTGTCTGTCACGAAGATCAACGCCATGAGTTCAGGTCACTCAGATGAGCTGGGAGTGATAAATTTTGACCTAGATATGAGATATGAGAGAATGGATCTGTGTGTGGCGAGTGTGAACAGTATCATACAATGAATGATGGGAAAAAGAACTCTGACCATGTGTTTGGTTTAAAATAGCAACTTTGAGGTGTTTTCTAGGATGTTTTTTATATTTTTCTGAGCCGTTTCTTGGTATCATTTGATAGGAGAAATACTAGTGAAATACAGATGATTTTTAGTTCATTGCAGTAATAGTAGTTGAAATTGGTCTCAAAGTAGTGGAAATACTATACGATTTTTCCTGATATTCCTGAGGACGAGTAAGGCCTCCCCTACACCCTCCTGGGTATATTTTATGGAATTTTACTAGGTCTTCAATATTTTTTTTGCATATTGTTGAATTCAAAATGGAAAGTAAGTGTAATATATGAGAGGCTTAGAGATGTGATTATTGCAGAGGAAATATTGTTTTTGTGCCTGGACTCTGCTTTTGAACTGGATTTTTTTTTATTTTGCATAAAATTGGCCAAATTGGCAAAATCACTGATGTGTAAAATGCACCCTGACCACTAACTTTTGCCTGTGTAATTACGAAAGTTTTCCATCAAATTTTGTATTTTTAGTGTCATTAGCTTCTGGAAAAGATTCTCTACCATTTCAGAAGATAAAACAATTTATAATTTTTTAAAATGTATACACTGTGAGCACAATTTTGGTGGTCTGGACATTGAAAGGGTTAAGTTGTCAATCAATCCACTAATACAGACCAATTTTTTCCCTTGGAGATATGTAATATCATAAGAGAAGCATGTTGATTCATTTAGAGAAAGTGAAGATACATATTAAGAAAATGAATGTATCAATGCTGTCCTTATCACTCTTGTCAAATAACTGCTCAGTGGTTACCCGAAACTTAATGATTAACCCTTTGACTGCTTCGGTCGTATATATATGTCTTACGATGTATATATACTCAAAATGTATGTATACTCAAAAATTCTAGCGGCTTCAAATCAAGCAGGAGAAAGCTGGTAGGCCCACATGTGAGAGAATGGGTCTATGTGGTCAGTGTGCACCATATAAAAAAATCCTGCAGCACGCAGTGCATGAGAAAAAAAAAACTACGACCATTTTTTTGGCTTAAAACGCCGACTTTGTGGTGTATTTTCGCATATTTTCATGAAGTATTCTAGTTTTCTTGGTCTCATTTGATAGAATGGAAAACATCTTATAGAAACAGAGGTGATTTTCATTGGTTTTACTATGAAAAGAACCTTGAAATGGAGCTCAAAGTAGGAGAAATGTTTGATTTTTGCCAATGTTCAAAAGTGAACAAATGATGTCACTGTCCAATAAATGTCCAACTAGCCATTCTAATATGCAGTCATGAATGGGTTGACATTATTTATATAATTACTACAATATTGTAGTAGTCTGCACAACAGTAAATCTTTTATTTTTTGTTTGAATATAAATTCAAAATAGAAAGCAAGAGTAATATCAGAGGGGCCTGGAGACATGACTGATGAACAAAGAAAATGTCATTTTAGAGCCAGGAATGTCTGCACTGTTCATTCTGGACCCTATTTTGAAATTGGCATATTTTTTAATTTGTGTGAAATTGGCCAAATTGCAAATTTCTGACCACATTATTGGGTAGTTGAAATTGGTAAATGGGTAGTTTCTTGTACTCAATCGATAGAACAAATAGAGTTCTAAAGAAATAGCTATGAGTTTTGTAGACTGGAACACTGGAATTAGCCGAAAATAGGGCTTAAAGTGGGCAAAATTGCCAATTCGTAAATATCGCCGAGGTCGCTAACTTCGCGAGAGTGTAATTCCGTGAGTTTTCCATCAAATTTCGTTCTTTTGGTGTCATTACCATCGGGAAAAGATTCTCTATCATTTCCTAATAATTTTTTTTTTTTTTCAAAAATTTTTCAACACCAGGAGACACCTCAGGATTTGGGGTTTCGACAATCAAGGGGTTAAAAAAGAGTAAATGAAACTTGCGTTAATTGTAATATGAAACGAGTTATAATTTATAATTTTTTCTCAACTAAGAGATGGTAAACCTTTTTACAGAAACAGTATGAAAAAAGTACAGGTCCGCCATCACAAATCCGGCAATCAGTTATTCGGTTCCTTCAGTTATTCGGCACTAATTTTGGCTGGCATAATTTCAAATTTCCAGGGTCGCCACACCAACCTGCTGGTACTGTTTGGTGGCGCTACTTGCTGCATAAGTCATTCCAATTTCTTTTTCTCCATTAATTGTTTTAACCTGCTTACTTTTAGCCCTAGCCATTGTTCCAATGAATAAAAGAAATGCTTCTCATTATGTAAAGTACCTACAAAGTACATTATTCATTAAAGATAAGGTGGCTTTGAAGCCACTGTCGGTTGCCATGAGCTCAGTCTCATGAAACAGGAGAATATGCTTTATTATTATGCTAATATCAACACTACAGCTTATTTGCCTATTACAATTGATCTAATAAGACATAAGAAACAATATAAATAACATAAAACATGTTAAATACTCCAGAATGAATAATATTTGGTCTAACACCGAGCAGTTCGACAGAGTTATGAAGAGGATATGGTAAACATATACCATTCTCCTATCCTTGTCTTGGTGACTTATATCAGAGAAAACAGAGTATAGGACAGGGCTAACTGATATACACTCATACTCCACCATAAACATGAAACAAAAAAGTTATTTTCTCTCTATAGATTATTACACATAGCAGCATGTGTGTAGAGAACCTAGGATAACCCCAAAAAAGTCAACGTGGCTTATTTTTAGTACCTGGCTTGGGTTAGCCATATATGATTTTTGGTAAATATTCGATTCTCAGCCAGGGTAGAAACATTAGGCGTGTTTCTTTACACCTGTTGTCTATGTTTACCCATCAGTAAATGGGTACCTGGGCGTTAGTCGACTAGTGTGGGTGTTATCCTGGGACAGTGACCTAATTTTCTTGAAATACTCAGCATAGCAAGTGCCTTTCTATACAGTAGTATGTCACTGATGTCAGCTAGGCCTGTATACCTTGTACATGTACGTGTAGTAAATAAAGATATCATTATTATTATTATTATTATTATATATTATTATTATTATTATTTTCTCAGTTGTTTGTTGGGTTATCTTATTCAAACTTGGGCAATGTATGATGGAAAGATACTTCTTCACGTACACCAAAAATGAAAGAAATCAGACCATAAATAGCGGAGTTCACTTCTCAGCCATTAGCGGCCACTTAGCAGTATATTTTTGTATGGTTATGGTTATATTCTCATTTTTTCAGTCTCATTTGATAGAATGAAAGATATATTACAGAAATAGATATGACTTTGATTGCTTTCATGACGAAAAGTACCTTGAAATTGCGCTCACAGTAGCGAAAATGTTCTATTCTTTAGCGAAGCTCAAGAGTAAACAAATGACGTCACCGTCCAATACCTGTCCGCCTGCCAGTCTAAATTCCAGTACGGAGTCAAGAATGAATTGACATTATTTATACAATTATTACAATAATGCAGCAGTCTGCATAACAGTAAATCTTCTATTTTTTTTGTGAATAAAAATTCCAAATGTAGCAGTGACTAATGAACAGAGAAAATGTTATTTTAGTACCAGGAATGTCTGCATTGTTTATTCTGGACCCTATTTTGAAATTGGCATCTGTTGAAATTTGTGTGAAATCGGCCAAATTGCCAATTTCTGACCACTTTATTGGGTAGTTGAAATAAGTGAATGGGCCGTTTCTTGTACTCAGTTGACAGACCAGAAGTAAATAAGTTTATTCAGGTATACACAAATACAGTTACATAGACTATCATACATAGTGCATGTATAGAGAACCTAGGATAACCCAGAAAAGTCAAAGTGACTTATTTCCAGTACCTGGCTTGGGCTTGCCATATATGATTTTTGGTAAATATTTTTTTTTCTCGGTTGTTTGTTGCACTATCTCATTGAAACTTGGGCAATGTATGATGGAAAGATGCTTCTTAACGTACAACAAAAATAAAAAAGACGGACGATAAATAAGGGAGTTAACTTCTCAGCCATTAGCTGCCTCTTTGCAGTATATTTTCGTGTGGTTTTTATGGGTGTATTCTCATTTATTGGAGTCATTTGATAGAATGAAAGATATATTACAGAAATAGACATGATTTTGATTGCTTTCATGACGAAAAGTACCTTGAAATTGAGCTCAAAGTAGCGGAAATGTTCGATTTTTGCCGATGTTCAATGAACTGTGTAAGTCAAGTTGGTTAATTTTATTAAGTGTATTCTAACTTAACCACTCTGTAATTCGGCAAACTCAGTAATCCGGCACACTACAGGTCCCAATGATGCCGGATTTGCGATGGAGGACCTGTATAACAAGCAGATGAGACAATAGAATATATTTTATAATTTCTCTATAAAATTTAAATTTTCAGGATAAAACAAACTGAGCATAGGCTGCATAGTGAACAATATTTAGAGATACTGTTTATTGATACGATGCATGCCCACTGTAAATAGTAATGTGGAGGTTCCAAGAAGTAATAGTGAACAAAGCAAAAGCAAAGGCTGCAATAGTGAAAACCACTGCTTCCCAGAGCACAGTACTAGACTCAATACCCTTTCTCATATCTGACAGACAAACCATAACACTCATCCTTTGTAGATGATACTAGAGCTTGCCTGAATAACAGCCTCCAACAGAAAGAAACCAAGTCTCCAAGATGTTAAAAACCAAATCTTCAATTTGGTCATAGAAAACTATGTGATGTTCAGTGAGGACAAATTACACTGACTAGTTTCAGCAAAAGGTTGAAGAAATATAAGCTGGAATAGAGTATAAAGCACACTCAAGCTACTCAATACAGGAACACTAAAGTGAAGAAATTAGTGATAATGTCAGATGATCACACAGTCAAGGCTCACAAGTCATTATCATGGTTGCAAGGCAAATGGTAGTCTGGATAACTAGAACCTTCTAAACAAGAGATGCCAAGCCAATGATGATATACTAAGTCACTTGTTCTCCCTAGAGTGAAATAGTTCTATAATAACTGTAGATCTGGAGATAAAAAGAAACTTCACTTCCCATATAAATTCAGTGAAGCAATTAAATTATAGGGAATGCTTAAATTCCCTTGAACTGTACTCCTTGGAATGTATGCAAGATGACACATAATTTACACCTGGAAAATTCTAGGGCTGATACCAAATCTGCACAAAGAAATCACTCCCTACAAAACCAAGAGGCGCTGCACACATTGCAAGATGAGAAAATTAAAGATGCAATGAGTACAATAGAGGATAACGCAGCAAGCATAAATGGATCAAGAAATCTGGTCTGCAACCAGCCCACAGAGTGATAACCCTTAAAACTGTTTACAGATAACCCCTCATACATAATGGGAAACTAATAACAGACCCCAAGCTGTCTTCAAGAGAGAACTTTACAAGTCAAGCAGTTATGCATACCCTGGATTCTGTGCAGCCAGCACCAACAGCCTGGTTAATCAGGCCATCAAAAAGGTGACCTGGTCTGTGGCCAGGCTATGGGGGCAAAAGCCCCTGAAATTGTCTTCAGATAACCTTAAGGTACATTTAGTGTCCATAATATGTCCCTGGGGAGCCTTTCTTGAGAACATGGGATCTACTTATGAAAAGTAAATGTGAAAGAGGTAGTTGCAAAGGAAAATTGAGGAACATTTCCAATTTTAAGTCTTAATGTGGCATCAACAAGTCTTGATGCCTGAAAAAATGTAAAAGTTATTCTAAAAAGGCTATAGAGATAAAAGATACAATAAGAAAACGTAAGATGAGTAGCAAAAATGGAAAGAGGGTGAAGAACTAGCTGACAAAGACAGTACCAAAGATGATGTAAAATATGTCAGTACAAAGATTAATACCTACAAAGAGTAAAACAGATTAACAAATGCCAGGTGTTACATGAAAGCAAGAAGGTGAAAGAAGGGAGAAGAAATGTGGAAGGAAAGCAGAAAAAGGATGAAGATTAAGACACTTATGCAACATATGGGAATCTTCATTCAGGAAACGTTTCGCCACACAGTGGCTTCAACAGTCCAATACAAAGTAGAAAGACGTAAGGAGAGGAGGAGTTTGAGGTAATCAGTTCCTCAGCCTGGAGTCGATGTGTTCAGTCCATCAATTTGTAGAATGTACAGCATAGGGCTGTAGACGTGGCTTATATACTGTAGTGAGGCGAGGCGAAACAGGGGGAGGTGGGGGTCATAGTGGTATCATCCACTAGTCGAAGTAGGTCTTCGTCCAAAGGTTGGACAAGTGTTGAAGAATTCTTTGTAACAAGATCCCATGATGCTGTTTACGCCTTTCTACTTTGTATTGGACTGATGAAGCCACTGTGTGGCGAAACGTTTCCTGAATAAAGATTCCCATATGTTGCATAAGTGTCTTAATCTTCAACTTGTTGGTTTTTCAAACCATTCATCACAACTGTCAGACACTGCAGCATCATGGGATCTTGTTACAAAGAATTCTTCAACACTTGTCCAACCTTTGGATGAAGACCTACTTCGACTAGTGGATGATACCACTATGACCCCACCCCCTCCTGCTTCGCCTCACCTCACTACAGTATATAAGCCACGTCTATGACCCTATGCTGTACATTCAACAAGATTGATGGACTGAACACATCGACTCCAGGCTGAGGGACTGATTACCTCAAACTCCTCCTCTCCTTACGCCTTTCTACTTTGCATTGGACTGATGAAGCCACTGTGTGGCAAAACGTTTCCTGAATAAAGATTCCCATATGTTGAATAAGTGTCTTAATCTTCAACTTGTCGGTTTTTCAAACCATTCATCACAGAATGCTGGGGATAGAAGGAAGCAGAAACATCAAGTGAAATATGCTTAAAGTGGGGAATAAATTTAAGATGGTCTGATGCCCTGACCAAGCCAATGATAAGAACTTACAACACTTCACTGAAGACATTAGTAATGAAACATCTCATTCAATCTGTCAGTATTAACATAATTGTACTTGGATAAATAAGGTACTAGACTACCTTGTGAGCATAAGCTTTATCATAGACAAACATGAAATGATGCCTCGCTAGCCAAGCAATTTTTTGAGACAAAATGATAAATAGTACAGGCACAAGAAGATTAAATGAACCACACATTCTTAAACTGCTGAAAGGCCTCTGATATGATGCCACACAGGCAACTAATTTCTGTACTGAAAGAACAGGTTGTGATCTTAATTAAGAATATTCTTCTGGATTAAACAAGAGAGCTTGATACACAGAGGCTTGAGATTCATAGTGAGAGCAGAGACATTGACCTGGGGAACAGTAATACATGTCCTGCTCTTCCCCTCCACATTCATGAGATGAGATGCATGATTATGGTAAGGGTTTATTATTTTGTCTGATGACTGAAATTTTGAGGGGCTTCAGGTCAGGGTACAATTTTCTGACGAAATTTAGCTTTTACTTTTACAATGTCGACATGCTATTAGCCCAAGTCAACTTATCAATCACATCATATGCAGCCCAGTAGGCCCACGATAACTATTCCCATAAGTAATGACTATAAGAATGTGAGGTAAGCCATACTATTGTGATATAGTAAGATAGAATTCTGTGTTTCAAAGTGACAAGTTCTGCATTTCAAAGAGAAATCTAGTTGAAGTGTAAATAGTGATCAAGGCACAAAACCAGAAGCTGCAAATAGATCAAAATGCTTGGAATCAATGTCTAGTATGGCCAGGAAAGGTAGAGTTAAGTGTGAAAGTCCAATGAAAATATAAAAGCTACCAGTAATGTTAATAATGAAATAAAGGGAAATCAGGATGTAAAACTTGCTAAATATCAGAGAGAGATGCACAAAATTTCATTTTTCTAGGTGCAACTTTGATAAAAAATAAAAGCTATGGAAACAAGAAATATAACATTACAGTTTTCAGTATTAAATGAACTAAACACCAAGACAAGTCAAAGCAACCAGCATGACAATACCAGTCATCAAAGGAAGAAGCCTCCAAGTAAACTACAAATATCCTGAAGAATGAAAACATACAACATATACAAGGAGTGAATAAGAGGATTAATAATTATTATATTATGAGGTAGCTCAAGTGAAGGGTAGTTCTAATTCTTGGGACAAAGAGTACTTCACCAGCATCAAGGTATACCCCCTTGATAAGATGGTGCATAATAACCAACAGTACATGCAACCCACAGTCCATAACCCATAGCATATATGACCCCCAGTACATGTGACCCACACTACATGATCCATAGCCCATGTGACCCACAGTATATGCAAACCACAGTACATATGACCACTGGTATATACTTAATAAAATTTAAGTAGTGACACTAGTAAGCAGCTGCTTACCTGCAAGGTGAGCTCATGTAGCAGTGGAGAGTAGCAGTCAAATCCACGGTCCAAAATGAGAAGCTGAGACCGTGCTTTTTCTGGTCCTTCCCCCATGGAAGGCTCATCTGCTTTATAGCCATCAAGCTTCTGCTGCACCAGCTGAGCAAGCTCTACATTCCGTTCAAAGTCTCCACGGTGCCTGCCATTAGAAATAACCTGTTCATTAAATTTGTTTCAGAACTGTTTGATATAGTTATGGTATTTACTGAATTTTCTAAAAACGGCACAACAAAAAGCTATCTATAATTTTATAGATAGCTTTTTTATATACTATATACAGTATACAGTGGACCCCGGTATACGATATTAATCCGTTCCTGAGAGCTCATCGTATGCCAAAATTATCAGAAGGTGAATTAATTTTCCCCATAAGAAATAATGGAAATCAAATTAATCCGTGCAAGACACCCAAAAGTACTATGAAAAAAAAGTTTTACCAGGGCTCTGGTGGCCTGGTGGTTAACGCTCTCGCTTCACACGGCGAGGGCCTGGGTTCGATTCCCAGCCAGAGTAGAAACATTGGACGTGTTTCTTTCCACCTGTTGCCTATGTTCCCCATCAGTAAAATGGGTACCTGGGTGTTAGTCGACTGGTGTGGGTCGCATCCTGGGACACTGACCTAAGGAGGCCTGGTCACAGACCAGGCCGCGGAGGCGTTGACCCCCGGAACTCTCTCCAGGTAAACTCCAGGTAAACATGAAATATTAAGTTTAATGCACACAAACTGAAGAAGACATGCACAGTTAGTAGTACTCTACTAACAATAGAATACATGACGCTTACCTTTAATGAAGATCTGGTGATGATTGATGGGATGGGAGGAGGGGAGTGTGTGGAAGTTGTTAATGTTTAGAAGGGGAATCCCTTTCCATTAGGACTTGAGGTAGCAAGTCCTTTTCCGGGGCTACTTCCCTTCTTCTTTTAATGCCACTAGGACCAGCTTGAGAGTCACGGGACCTCTGTCGCACAACAAATCTGTCCATAGAGCTCTGTACCTCCCGTTCCTTTAAGATTTGTCTAAAATGGGCCACAACATTGTCATTGTAATAGTCACCAGCACAGCTTGCAATAGCTCTGTTAGGGTGATTTTCATCCATAAATGTTTGCAGTTCAACCCACTTTGCACACATTTCCTTAATTTTTGAAGTAGGCACAATGGATTCCACAACTGGCATAGGCTTCTCAGGGTTAGCCCCAAACCCTTCAAAATCTTTCTTAATTTCCATACTAATTCTCACCCTTTTTACCACAGGGTTGGCACTAGAAGCTTTCTTGGGGCCCATGGTGACTAATTTTTCAGAAACAAGCACCAAAAACACTGTGATAATATTGAATGTACCGAATGTATGCTTAGATGCGAGCACACTGGCACGCACGGGGCAGATCAGGCCACACGTGGACACGTCCTGGACGAATCGCGTGGCAGGTTTTTTAACGAGTGGCGAGGCAAAATTTTTGCGTTAAAATGTATCATATACCAGATTTAACGTATACCGATGCCATCGTATGCCGGGGGTCCACTGTATATAATGCTATATACAGGTATCACCATATTCACACTGTACAGTACCTTACATTCCAGGATATATAACTCTTGTTTATAGTGCAATTAAAACTATGTTACACATATTAAAGTAAGGAGATAAAAGAGGTATCTGATTATTTGCAAGTACAAATAATTAATAAGGTTAGTTTTTATATAGCCCAATAAAGCACATTACTGTGAGTAGTTTAATACCACACATCAGCATATTTGATATAAAAATGGGAGGATTTTTTTTTTACATGTACATAGCTGTATTTGACCCTAATGTGTGTAATAAAGCACTGAGGAAAAACTGCATCACTCAATTGCCAATTCACAAAAAATGTAAAGGAAAATCCAACATTTCCTGGCAAGTTTTTGAAAAAAATTTAAGCCAACAAAAACATATACACGATAATTCATGAAGAAAAACAGATAAACGAGATTTTTTTTTTTTTTACAAGTCAGCCGTCTCCCACCGAGGCAGGGTGATCCAAAAAGAAAGGAAAACCCAAAAAGAAAAAATATATACATGTATATAAAAAATATAAAAAGATATAATCACCTAAGTAACAGTACAGGTCCGCCATCACAAACCAGGCAATCAGACATCCAGTTCCATCAGTTATTCGGCACTAATTTCGGCTAGCATAATTTCAAATTTCCAGGGTCGCCACACCAACTTACTTGTATTGTTTGGTGGTGCTACTTGTTGCATAAGTCATTCCAATTTTTTTTTCTCCATTTATTGTTATAACCTGCTTACTTTTAGCCCTAGAGCCATGATTCCAACGAATAAAAGAAATGCTTCTCGTTGTGTAAAGCACCTACACAGTACATTATCCATTAACCCTTAAACGGTCCAAACGTATATATACGTTCACTCGTGTAGCGCCCCAAATTTTTTGAGAGAAAAAGACATTTTTTTTAAAAGGAAAAAAGAGCATATGGTACCCAGGCATCCCCAATTATTTTAATATGGCACACAGTGAGTGCGCACACCCATTCTCTCATGTCTAGGTGACTCAGGCTTATTGTGGCAATGTTGAATGAATGACAAGGAAAACGTATATATACGTTTGGGGCGCTACGCGTGAACGTATATATACGTTTGGACCGTTTAACCCTTTCAGGGTCCGTCCCGTAGATCTACGGCTTTACGTTCAGGGTCCAAACCGTAGATCTACGTCATGAGCTCAGCTCACTCTGATAAACTGTGAGTGGTACATTTGGGCCTAGATATGAGAGAATACATCTTTGTGGTATGTGTGCACCACATAAAACAGATCCTGGAGCACACTGTGTATAATGAGAGAAAAAAAACTGAAATCATGATTTTTCGATTAAAACAGCGACTTTGCAGTGTTTTTTCGTATGTTTTTTATAGTTGTACAGTGGACCCCCGCATAACGATCACCTCCGAATGCGACCAATTATGTAAGTGTATTTATGTAAGTGCGTTTGTACGTGTATGTTTGGGGGTCTGAAATGGACTAATCTACTTCACAATATTCCTTATGGGAACAAATTCGGTCAGTACTGGCACCTGAACATACTTCTGGAGTGAAAAAATATCGTTAACCGGGGGTCCACTGTATTTGTGATTTCTTGGTCTCATTTGATAGAATGGAAGACATATTACAGAAATAGAGATGATTTTGATTGCTTTTAGCACTGGAAATGGCTTGAAACCGAGCTCAAAGTAGCAGAAATGTTAAATTTTTGCCAATATTCAAGAGTAAACAAACGACCTCACACGTCTAATACACACCAGCTGGTGGGTCTAATATGCATTCACAAATATGGTGATGATATTTATACAATTATTGCAGTATTGCATAACAGTAAATCTTCTATTTTTTGGAGTGAATAAAAATTCATTATGTGAATAAAAAATCAAAATGGAATTTATTTGTAAAGCTTCAAAACATAACTAATGAACAGAGGAAATGTTAGTTTAGTTCCAGGAATACCTACATTGTTTATTCTGGACCCCATTTTGAAATTGGAATATTTTGAACTTTGTGTTAAATTGGCCAAATTAACAATTTCTGATCACTTTAATTTGTAGTTGAAACAGTTGACTTGGTGATTTCTTGTGCTCAATCGATAGAATAGAAGTAATACTAGTGAAATAGCTAAGAATTTGATTGACTGGAATAATGTAATTGGCCTAAAATGGGAGTCAAAGTCGGCAAAATCGCAGATTCGTAAATATCGCTGACACATCAAAATTCGCGAGAGCATAATTTCGTCAATTTTCCATCAAATTTCGTACTTTTTGCTTTATTACCTTCACAAAAAGATTCTCTACCATTTCATAAGAAAAAGTAACAAATTTTTTTTTTTTTGGAAATTCTTGGACACTGGGGCACCACTTCAGATTTAGGCCTTGGACCCTGAAGGGGTTAAGGGTGGTTTTGAAGCCACTGTCGATTGCTATGAGCTCAGTCTCGTGATGCAGGGGAATATGCTTTATTACTTTAATATCAACATTACAGCTTATTTGACTATCACAATTGATCTAATGTGACATCATAATAAATCTATTAACACAAAGCACCTATACAAAAAACAGTATAGAATGGGCCAAATAACCTGAGACTATTCTAAACATTACTCGTCAATCCTTACCAGCCTGATAAGAAGGTCAAAAAAGTTGTATTATGAGAACAGATTACATGACATAAAAGGTGATATGAAAAAGACCTGGAAAACCCTATCTGAAATTCTAGGAACTAAAATGATATCCTAAAACAAAACACTCAAATTAACAAATTCATATGAACCCCTACTCCCACCAACTGAAACAGCAAACAGACTCAATGTTTTCTTCTCCACCATAGGAAAGAATCTAGGGAGCAAAATCCCAAGCTCAAACACCCATCCATCAAACTACCTCATGGGTACCTACCTGAATACACTATTCCTAGCTCGAACCAACCCAACAGAAGTCTCGCTCATCATCAACACCCTTAAAAACAAGGCAGGAGATATAAATAACTTACCACCTTTTATGTACAAAAAAGCTTCTCAAGTACAGTGGACCCTCGACTAACGCTATTAATCCGTTCCTGAGAGCTCATCGTTAGTCAAAATAATCGTTAGTCAAGTTAATTTTCCCCATAAGAAATAATGGAAATCAAATTAATCCATGCAAGACACCCAAAAGTTTTGAAAAAAAAAAAATTTTAACACATGAAATATTAATTTTAATACACACAAACTGAAGAAGACATGCACAGTTACATGACACTTACCTTTATTGAAGATCTGGTGATGATTGATGGGATGGGAAGAGGGGAGTGTGTTGATGGTCTTAGTGTTTAGAAGGGGAATCCCCTTCCATTAGGACTTGAGGTGGCAAGTCCTTTTTCGGGGTTACTTCCCTTCTTTAATGCCACTAGGACCAGCTTGAGAATCACTGGACCTCTGTCACACAAACATATCTGCCCAATAGAGGCCTGTACCTCCCATTCCTTTATGACATTCCTAACGTGTTTCACAACATTGTCAGTGTCACCATTAAACACTTGTTCAGGTTTCAGTCCTTCACTGTCTATGTACTCCTTGAATTCCTGCACATATTTTTCAGCTGCTTTTTGGTCCAAACT